AAACAATCAATTTGTTTTATGCCTTCTATTTTTAGGTAAGAAGGAAAGCTATAGCAGGAAACTGTGCTTCAGACGTACCCACTCAGCACCGCAATGTCTGGAAAGGGCAAAGGTGGTGTGGAAGGCAGTGCTGATTCCTTCATTTTGTGCCACATAGACTCTGAGTTTCGCTACAACCTCTTCACTGTTTTCTACAGCATCATTTTCATTCTGGGCTTTGTTGCCAACTGCTATGTTCTCTGGATTTTCAGCCATATTTACCCTACCAAGAAACTCAATGAAATCAAGATATTCATGATAAACCTCACAGTAGCTGACTTGCTTTTCTTGGTTACGATGCCAATGTGGATTGTTTACTACCACCACCGTGGAGACTGGATCATGCCTGAGTTCCTCTGTAATGTGGCTGGCTGTTTATTTTTTGTTAACACTTACTCTTCTGTTGCCTTTCTGATGGTCATCACATACAATCGTTACCAAGCTGTGACTAATCCTATTAAAGCTTCCCAGCTGACCACACAGAGAAGGGGTATCTACCTATCAGCAGCTATCTGGATCATAATAGTGGGCAGCTCTTTGTATTACCTTTTTGACAATAATACTAATCAAGAGGAGATCAACTCGAAGAATTTCACCCGGTGCTTTGAGCGCTATGACACTTCTAGTGGGGTTTCGGCTGTTCTCGCAATTCATGTCATCATCTGCGTCCTCTTCTATATCATTTTCCTTTTTATACTGGGCTGGAACATTGTCATTATCAGGACCCTGTTCTCCAAGTCGGTGCATCCACGGAAGAGCGCTCATGTCAAGCAAAGGGCCCTCTGGATGGTGTGCACAGTGCTGGCTGTGTTCATCATAAGCTTTGTGCCCCATCACATCGTGGACCTGCCCTGGACCCTGACTGTTCTGGAGCAGTGGAAGAAGGAAAACTGTCAGCTGCGCCAACAGCTCAATGATGCTCACCAGGTGACTTTGTGCCTCTTGAGTACAAACTGTGTGTTGGATCCGATCATCTACTGCTTCCTCACCAAGAAGTTCCAGAAGCATCTTTCAGAAAACCTGAAAAGCATGAAAGGGAGTCGCAAGTGCTCCAGACAAACCACGGACACGGTGATTGAGGGCACCATTCACCAAGAGGATGCCATTAGGATCTGTTAGAACCACTAAGCCTGTTCTGATTGCAGATGGAGAGGTGTGAATTGATCGCTCATCTTTTCTCAGGAAGAGGCACCAAGGGACAAAACAAAAGATCAGGATTTTACATATTTTTTTTTCCCATTAGACTGAAGAATGGATGCTCATTTCTTCTATACACACACAATTGGCAGAACTGGAACCTGTGGTTATCTGGCAGGAAAGCACCTTCTGTCTGGGTTGGTGTTCTCATGGGTGCTGAGAACAGCACAATCAACCTGCTTTTACGTAAAAGAAACGTGTCACTGAGCTCTGCAGTGAGCAGCTAGAAGTCAAGTGCACCAGAATTATCCATTGTCCAGACAGAACCGTCCCTGCTCTTCTGCCTGCCCAGCCCTCACAATGGATCCAGTATTAGAGCTGTAAGGGACTTCTAAAAGACCTGGAAGAACAGGCTGAGCTGTGAGTGTCATTGGGCGACTTTTCTAAGCAGCTTACATGGTCCTATGAAGAGAGTCTGAGCTGAAGAAGCTCTTGAGTGGCTGGAAGAGACTAGTCCATGGAGTTCCTCAAATGCTGTCAGAGGAAATCTGCACCTCTGATCCCTTCTTACCGACTCACATGGTCTGCTGGGATCCAAACTTTAGAGATGTCTGGGAGTAGCTATTATGAACCTTTGCTTCCAGATCTTGAGTCAGTCAAGTTGGGAAGGAAAGGAAGAGAAATTGGCAGTGCCTCAACACCCACCCCCCCCCCCCAGATCAGCATTAGTGCCAAAGGGTACTATGGTCTGCCCTGGCTTCTTGTGTGACAGCAGAACTGGCCAGCCAGTGGTCTTGTGCACTCAGTTTACTAATTCCTGACTGACTGCAGTGTCTGTGGACACACAATCTAGCTTAGGAGACTCCAAACAACCAAAGATTACTGTCAGCATGGGCATTACGATAAGGAAAAAAAAAAAATCTTAAAATGCATTAGTATCTTCGTGCTTATTTATTTAAGTTAGGGTTGTAGCCATTACATTATTCCTTCCCCCAGCCCTTCCAGTTCTGCTGCAAAGAAATGAAGCTGGCTAGTTCTTGATTTCCTACAGCAAGTGAGGTTTTACATCAGGTCATGGCCACTTTCTGAGTAAATCAGTGCTGGGCAGTGGTACAGGACACTTGACAGACACATAATTCACAGGCTCCAACAGCACTGGAGACCCCTCACCCAGGGCTGGCTGCAGTCCATTGGGGCCCAGGGCAAAGTGGTTTTCCACGAGTGCTGAGTTCTGTTACCAGTCACGAGACACTTGGGATTCCTTTTCTGACCCAAATTGCTCAATCTAGCACAGGAAATTGGGCAGGGAAGGGAACTTACTTGTTTTCACAACAGTTTTTGGTTCCCTAAACTACCTAGTCTGTTGATGACAGGAAGGGTGTATCTGACCTGTGACACCAATTATTCCTCTGCTTGACAGTGGCCTTCCCACACCCACCCGAGCACGGCGAAGGTAAGCTCAAGCCTTTCCAAAGACAGGACCAACATTGTACTGCTTTGCTTTTATTCAGTAGAGATATGGGTCCTTCAGTCGTATCCTTTGGAGCTTCTCAGGCAGATTTTGTCCTTTCTTGTGTGAATGAGCAAAAGAACTAATATGTTTATTTTTCTAAGGCCATTGCCAGGGACACCCCTGCATTGCAGGCCCAGTGCCAGACAAAGGAAAGAGTCTGATCACAATGAGAATGCATCTCCCTCCTAGTCCTGGGCTCTGCTCCAGTAATGGCCACCCATAACAAACAACTGCCAGCACCTTGTCCTGTCCCTCAACAACGTTCAGAGATGTGCCCTGAATCTGCAGAGCCAGAGAACACAGCAAGGAAGCAACTTTTGTAATTTAAAAGCCTAAGTCTGACTTGCTGGAGGAATCTGCCTCTGTTTCTGCCTTGCTCTGTTGGCACGTTCTGGCTGAGGAGCTCTGCTGGTGTCAGATGAGGGGACCTCTCCATTGTCCCCCTTGGTCCCTATGCCATAGTGGAGCTCTCATTTCACAGACCCTAAAGCACTGAACCGATGGAATTGCCACTCTTGGAGGAAATGGAAAGGAATTTTACGTGAAGAGCTGGCAAATGCATGATCTTCTTTGGATTCCTGGAAAGTTCGCAGCAGAATTTACAGTTTAGCTCCTCACTCTGGGTATCCACGGGCTTTATTTCATGCCAGGGCAGCGTGGGCTCAGGGAACCAATGTAGACTTGGATCTAAGGAAAAGGGTAAATGGAGGGAAAAGCCCAGAGGTCACTTCAGGAGATGCTGTAGTAATTAATCAGTAACAATGTGCTTCTAAAAACCAGGCTGAGCTGCTACTTCTGTTCCTGGAATTACTTTCGTGATTCTACCGCAATGTTGCATTACTCTGCTCTACTTTGCAATTAAATGGATCCTCAAAAGTTCTTTTAAATAAAGTGTGTTCCTCAAGTGTTTTGCCCTTTAACTTTTTCCCACTTTCTCATCTTTCTGTATTTATACTTGAGGGAAAAGCCTTGGTACCGACACAGCTTCAATGTGCCATTTTTTGTGTTTTTTTTTTAAAATCACCATATGAACTCTTGGGAGAGGTGAAATTAAAGGCTCAGCAAGTTTTTACCTGCTAAAAGGGGAAAGAAATTATTTCAGAGAGGAAACAACTTCTGAAAAACCTGCTAGAGCTCTTCAAAATGAAACCAGACAAAATCCCCTGAACGCTCTGACCTGCACATGAGAAATTTATAGACACACCCCATCGTGTGGCAGTGATGTGACAAACTATTTTTATGTGTTGGGCTTGCACGGCCAGGTTGTGGTAGGGAGGGAGATGGGGGGGAGGCTGCTGGGGTGGCTTCTGTGAGAAGCTGCCAGACGCTTTCCCTGTGTCCAATGAGGCCAAAGTCATCTGGCTCCAAGATGGAACCCGCTGCTGGCCCACACTGAGCCCATCAGTGATGGTGGGAGCAGCCATAATAAGAAGGAAAAACAGTTATTAATTAATAGTTGATAATGAAGAAGGAAAAACAGTTCTTGCACAGAAGCAATTGGCAGTCAGAGTAAGGAGGAGTGAGAGTGTGCGAGAAACAGCCCTCCAGAGCCCAGCGCCAGTGGGGAAGGAGGTGCTTCATGTGCTGGGGCTGAGGTTCCCCCGCAGCCCGCGGTGCAGAGCGCGGTGAGGCAGCTGTGCCCCTGCAGCCCATGGAGGTCAGTGGGGGTGCAGAGATCCCCCCGCAGCCGGGAGGAGCCCCACGGAGCAGGGGATGGCCAAAGGAAGCCGTGACAACGCCGGAGCAGGTTCGCTGGCAGGACTTGAGGCGCCGTGGAGGACCCAGACTGGAGCTCCTGTTCCTGAAGGACTGAGCCCGTAGGAAGGACCCGCGCTGGGGAGGGGACAGTGTGAGGAGTCCTGTCCCGGAGCGGGAGGAGCGGCGGGGACAGCGTGTGACGGACTGACCCTGCACCGCCTGGGGCAGGAGGGAGAGAATTGGGAATACAGCGGAGTCCAGGAGGCAGGGAGATGTTTTAGGATTTGGTTTCATTTCTCATTACCCTACTCTCGATTTCTCTGGCGATAAATTAAACCGATTCCCCCAGCCGGGACTTGTTGGCCCGTACCGGTGCCGGGTGAGGGATCTCTCCTGCCCTGCTCTCGCCCCACGAGCCTTTCGTTCTGTTTTCTTTCTCCTGCCCGGCCGAGGAAGGCGGTGACGGAGCGGCTTCGGGAGTACCCGGACGGGATGAACCCTGCACAGTCAAACACCCCGCGAGAGCCCCATCGCTGGGCCGGTCCTGGGGCCGCAGCGACGGCCCCGACAGGGCCCCGCCCGGGCGGTGACGCCACTGCCGGCGCCGCGCGCTGTTCCGGCGCGGGCGGGAGCGCGGGCCCCGCTGCCATGTCCGCTGCGGGCCCCGGGCCCGGCTCCGGAGCCGCCTCTCGGTAAGAGCCCGCTCGGGCCCCGGGCGCGCAGCCCCCGGGGCTGCTCCCCGGCCCGGGCCGGGACCGGCGGGCCGGGGCCGCTCGGCCGCGGAGGCGCGGGCGGCGGGGCCGACGCGTATGCTCGGTCTGTGCCTCTGCCCCCGGCGGAGCGCGGCCCGAGGGGCCGGGGCAGGGCCGGTGGCGCGGGGCTGGACCGCGGGCTCGCCGCCCTCGAGCCCGGCGGGGTGTGCCCGGAGCCGGGCGGGAGGGGCGGGGGGCACTGCCCGGCTGCCGGGGCTCGCTCGGGCGCGGAGCAGCGGCCGTAGGGGGCCGGGGATCGGAGGGCCCCGGGACGTGCCCAGGGCTCCCGGGGCGGCCTCACCGGGCACGGCTCACCCGCACCGCCCTGGGGTGGGTTCAGCCGCTCGCGCTGTGCGGGTGAGCCCAAGAGGATGTTTGGGTTGGGCAGTGCCATGGTTAGTTGGGCTTCGCAAGCGAGGTTGGATCCACATCGGCTCTGCTGGATGCTCCTGGTTCTGGGAATGCTGTGCAGAGTTGCTGGAGCTTTTGTGTGCAGCCAGCTCCAGCACAGAATGCCTTGTTAGTTTGGTTGCTATACTGCACGTTGTGGCCGAATGGTTTTGCAGACTAGAGGCAGACCTTCATGGAACATAGCTGTAGCAATTCTGATGGAACATCGTACAAAAGAGTCGTGGTGGACTTGGCTTTCAGTATGGAGCTAGCTCTGCTTCTGTGATGCACTCAATCTGTAGTGTAGTAACCTCCAACTGATAATTAAAAGTCAAGATACTGATTAAGATAAGATTTTTATGATTATCATTATCTGCCACTTGTTTGTTTTCCTTCAGTTTTGTCTGTTGTGGATTATCTTAAACTCCTGAAGCTGAATAAGATATGGTTTGTTGAGAATCACAATTCACATACCTCAGGTCACTGGCTTCATAATAAGCTACCCTTAAAAAAGTATGAAGATAGTGGTTTCCTCAACCTACAGACCTGTTGGGCTGAACCTACGCTGTTTGGAGATTTTCCTTTTCACCTCATGGTGCAATCCTTCTTACTTGCTCACTTTTGCTCTCCAGTTTTTGTGCCTCAGGGGTACCTGCAGGTACTGTCTCCCTGCTCTGTGTTTGAAAGCTCACTGAGCTTGAAGTCCTGCAGTTTCCAAGCCATTGCAATTCCTGCACAGTGTCTGCCTGCAGCTTTTGTATTCCCCTCAGCTCTTCCTGCAGCCTCAGCAGCAGTTACAGCACCTGGGTGACTGTGTATTGTTGGGTTGTGCAACAGGTGTGATAGAAAAATTGTTGCTTTTCAATCGTTTGTATGAAAAGCTGTCACAGATGTATGCAATAGATGTAGTAATTCCTGAGTTATTGGTGACTTTGGAAGGATTTGTAACTTCTCAAAACTTTGCCCATGTAAATATCCAGATGTTGGATGAATTTTGAGTTGAATATGTCAGAGGACACTTTATAAATGGGTTTCCTTGTGTTGCGTGAATGGGTTTGAGCCCCTCTGCTGCAGATTAACCTACCATTTTTAAGTTCTGTGTACTGAAGGGTGGTTATAGATGGCTAAACATGAAACTAGATAAAATATACTGAAATATTTTATTGAATGAAAAGTCGGGCAAGTAGTGTGTTCCTGTGTGCAAGTCATGCTGTACATGGAGGCACTGAAGGCAGATAGTATGTCTCTGGGACAGGAGTAACTCCATGCCTGGACTCTCAGTTAGCAGGGGTAGGATTATTTTTTTCCCTCCCCACATATCTCTTCTCTGTTTTCCCTGAAAGCTGCTCTTAGAAAATGGATGTTTGATAAAACTTGTGTTGGATCTGCAAAACCCTGTGGTTGGAAAAGGAGCTGTCAGAATGGAGATGTGCAGAAACTTCTGAGCCTGGAATAGAATTGTGACAGGACTTAACAAATATTCTTGCACCAAGCAGCATCTACAGACCACCCACCTCCAGAGAACATCTTGCAAGAGCTGCAGAATGGTTTTGTCCCCTATGCCATGACCAGTGGCACTCACTGGTTAGTTAGGAAGGTCTTTTTCAGCTTTTTCTTGCTTCGTCTTATTTATAATTTATTCTCTTTCTTTCACCCTGATTTGTCTGGAATTTTTTTCCTTTATTTGGTTAAAGGGCAGCAAATTAGCATCTCTTCTACAGTGTTCTCTGGTGGCCCCTCTCTAGCAGTGATTCTGGGATTTAGGTCACGTGGATGCTGTGACTGGAGGCACTCTAGTACCTGAGGGGAGTAACTTCAAATCCTTTATCCTTGCGGCCACCTCCAAAGTGTCAGTGAAGGTGGTGCTACAGAGGCTCAGATCTGCTCCTGATGCCTTATGTAGCCTGATGTTCAGGAGGGTGCTGTGACAGCAGGGCCTCTTCAGGGTATGGGGTCACTGTGATTCACACCAGTCACTGCCCTGTCTTTTCCAGGTTGTCACCACTCAGTCCTGTAACTGAACAAGCCTACTGGAAAACAAGCCTTGTATTTCAAAAAATAATCTAGGATTGAGATGGAGCTGACTGGGAGCTCTTTCCATCTCTTAAATAAACTTCTATTTGGGTTAAAGGTGTGGCTAGCTTAATTTCAGAGGTGATGGAACAGTTCAGTTCTGCAGAACATGGGTCTCTCCTGAGCTGAGACTTGACCATGGAGCTGTTCTTGCATCCCAGGAGCTTCATTCTGTGTCTTGAAATGTGTGTTTGTGTTTGAATACTGACAGTGCTGTTTCTCTTAGGGTCATCAGCTGGAACATCACTTAAAGCGTGTGGCAGCTTTAAACCTTGGGTGATGGTTTCTATTTCTGTACAGATTGTCCTATCATGTGTAATTCAATTTCTGAGATTTTACAGATCAGTCTCATACTAATGTCTTTTCTGTGACAGTTTTTTTTCCTATTCTGTTTGAAAGAGCTTAAGAAATTCTTCCTTAAATATGACCAATTTAAGATGATTGGGGTAGAAGAATGCATATTCAGGACCAAGTTCACTTTAAAAAGCAGGTGATTAATTATTCTTCAGAGCAGAAAAGAACATAGCAGCTGTTTTCAAAACCACGTGGAAGTATTCTGGGTAGAAAACCTGCGTTTCTGTTCTTCAGATTCCCTCATGCTGCTCTTTTGGTAAAGGCATAATTGTTCTCATCTACCCATTGAGGAGAACACTGTCACAGAATACAACCCTGTTGGTTCAGGGCTTTGAAATTTCACATACAAGTCTGGTCCCATTTGCAATATGTCTGTTCTTTGTTCCATACCTTTAAAATAGCTCTTGAAATTTCAGAAGCTGTTGCCTTGATTATTCTGTGTGTTTTAAATCCCCATTTCCTGTCGATCCAGAACTTTTGGTGTATAGGAAGGGGAGCTGGCTTTTCTAGAAGATAAAGGGATTAAAAAATTACGGGGGCCCTCTTTTTCTTCATTAACTTGGCTGGTATTCTGGAGAACTACAAAAACACATGAGATTTAATTTTTCTTTTTCTACTTTTTTTGTGGTATGTGTGGGTGTGCGGGGGTTTGTTTGTTTGGTTGTTTTGTAGGGTTGTTTTTGGTTTTGTTTTTGTTTGCTTGTTTTTGTTTTGTTGTCTTTTTTTTTCTTATCCAGTAGTTCACTCACATGCCAAGCCTTAAAAAATAAAAGAAGTTATGAAATACTCACTCTTACCTGACCTGAGGAAAGCCCGAAAGTCCCCACGAGTCAATGGTAGCACTGCTGGAGGCAGTTTACAAGGTAGCAAAAGTAATTATAGTAATTCAGTGAATTATTAATCTGTGCGATAGCCATCCAACACCTAAAGAATTATGCCGAATAAAAACCAGCACCAAGTTGTCATGTCAGTTTCTCTTATGAATGAAATTACTTTTTTGTGGCTGAGGTTATAAAAAACCAAAGACAGTTGGTCTTTACTGAGAGTGTTAATTCTTGCTGAACTACTGGCAGAGTCCAGTGTATGTCATGCAGCTTCTTTCTCCAATGAGGGAAGTAAAAAGCAGACTAGTGTTTGGCAGACTAGGCCTAAGTCAGAGATGACAGCCCTTTGGGAAAGGTCTTGATATTGACAGATTTTGGAGCTAAAAGGTGGCAGAAAATACTGTGGGCTGTTCTTTCCCAAAGGTTACCTGGTATGCATGGTGAGCAAGAAGACACTCATTCCTTGTGCTGTTGCTCAGCCTGAAGGTGTATGTCACCCTCTGGTTCTGCCCAAACTTCAGTCTGTTCCTCACCGGCCCAGAGCCCCCTGGGGATGGGCCCTTGCTCACAGGTGACAGAGCCCTGAGGGCTGTGGAAGTGGTTTGTTCTGCGCTCCTTTCTTGTCCCAGTTGTCAAAAAACCTGGTTGTTAAGTTCATGGAGTGTCAAGTTAAACACACTTTGATTACCGCTGCAGGAGTTGACATAATGTGATTCACCTTGCAACTGGTGTCAGCTGAAATGAAAACACACAATTTTATTGCTTGCCACAGCTCAACTAATCCCAGACCTGTTAGGAAAGCAGTGACCAGGTCATTCTTCTGCCTGCATTCATCTTACGCTCCAGATTTTCTGCAGTCAGCAGGCACTCCAGGACACACGGCACTGGTTTTGCTGGGATTTATTTGTTATCTGGTTAGGGATTAATTTTCAATGCTAATGTCTGAAGAAAATGTATTTATAACAATGAAGATATCTTCATGATCTTGTTTGTTTTCTCCTGGAACCACAGTTACACATACCAGAAGGTCTGAGGACCTGTTTATATGATGCCTTAAGCAGTGTAGGTCATTTTCTTTCTTATTTTTTGTATTTGTGTTTTAAGTGTTGACAAGAGTAAAATGTATGCTGTGGAAAGGTGCAGACACAAAGTTTGAGTCTTTTCATGTGCCCACAGTTGTGTGAACCCTGAAGTCTGATGCTTTTCTTTAGCTCACCTCCTCGTTTTCTTTTCTCCTTAAAAGCTGTAAGTCAGGAACTGCAGTAAGTTTAAAAAGCAAGCAAACAAGAAAACACTCCC